AAGTTCTGGTAGACGTCAACGATTAAATATTTTGTTCCATTGTTGAAAGAAACAAAGCAAGCACAAGGAAAAGAGAGATAAAACGAATGTCCCGTAGAGTCGAAAGAAGTAAATAGTATATGTATGTTTGTATCAAGAACAGTAAGCTTATTAGTTTTAACATGATTCACTTGTCTAATTGTAAGACAGAAATTTTTTAATTTTTAATGATTTTCTTAAGTTACGTACAACATGTATGTATTACTATAATATTAAATAAGAGAACAGAGGGCATAGAGAAATTATAGTTTGTTTCTTTTATGGTCTTTTTAAGTTACGTATAATATGCATATATTATTATAATATCAGATAGAATTGTTATTACTAATGTAATGCTACGCAATCTGCATTTTATAATTTTTTGTGTATTTTGGTTGGAACTAAAAAACTCTCCCTCGGTAGGCAGTTTGTTTTTTTATCGTACTATATGCGAAGTGATCAGCTGATTGCAATATCTCCACACGTATGTTTAATAATGTTTTAAAGGTGTTATTTGATTGTAATTCGAAGTTGATATGTTATTTTGTATTATGATTGCATAAGAAAAAAGTTAATAGTATATTTTTATAACAATCGTGTCGATGACATTCGCAACGTAGTCAGTCACGATTTCGAGAAAGCAGAATTCAAGTTTTTTATTTTAATCGAGATTACAAAAATAAAAGAAAAAATGTAGGTATGTGTATTCATTTATTAATATTGTCCGAACAGTGTTTGCATGTTAATGGACTGCTGTACATTGGGCGCAGCTACCGATGCGACGATGCGACGAATATGAGTGTGGTCGTGGATACCTTCCGATTACCGCCTACTCCGACCGTACCGGGATCGGAATTTTAAGGAATTGATACGTTTAGAGCGACGCCGCTACGTCCTATTTCATGTACAGCACCGACTACGGATTCTTCTGGTGCAGCTGAAACATACATGGGCGCCCATCGCTTGTTGCTTTTCGCGGAAAAATTTATACAAGTCGTATTTGCTATTTTTTACAGAATAGAAAAGTAAAATATAACGAAGTATACTTTTCGTATAAATAAAATTTATAAAATGTTTTAAACCTAAAAGAGAAATGCAAACAGTTGATAGATTTTTATAATAATAAAATGCCGCGTAACTCACTCTGTGTTTGAGGTTGCGCTAATCTAACGTTGCCAAGTATCCCTGGAGGTCCATACCGGGAGCTGGCATTCTGAGGCCCCTACGAACGCCTTGGCCAGGCAGGAATCCCGGTGTTGTTGTCGGGCATTGTATGCCTAAAGCATCGTAAGCCCTCCTCATCTCGGATGGACTGGGATTTGGCTGATTATTTGGTTGTATCGCGGGTGCTATTGAAAAGAACGCATACATACACAACATGAATATGCGTGGAGGCTCGTCGAAACGTTAATAGGGTGACTACTTATTTGTAAGAATAAAATATTTAAAAAACCTGGGAATTCTTTGAAATTTTTTTCCGGTAATAGACACCCTAATTAAAGATATAAGATGTTAGACGGTTCTGTGCAATTACCTTGCGCAGAATTTGTCCTGTTCTTATTCGCTTGTATTATATGCACACAAACAGGGCAGTCACCTCGGTTGCAATGCTTCCAGTGACTGATTACACGTAAAAAACTTACCTTTTTAAAAAAAAGGTAAAAAAAGCACCAAGTCTAAGCTCCAATTCAACCGAATATATTTTGTTACTCTATCTTTTTTGCAAAAGTATAATCTCTACAAAAATATCTTTACTGTAAAAGTATCTTCTTTACAAAAATAGTGTCTCCACAAAAATCTTCTGTACAAAAATATCGTCTCTACAAAAATATCTTCTCTACAAAACTATCTTTTCTACAAAAGTAATAATATAAAAAGATATCAACAAATTGCGCCAAATAAAACAACGGATATTTATACATACTAGTTGCTTTAGCATTAGTTTTTGATTAAAAAATGTTATATTTCTTAAAAAATCAAACTAAAGATTTTATTGGAAAAAATAATGGAGTTGTTAGAGTCGTGGTAGTTGGATCAGGAGTGGACGAAGTGGTATGACACAAGTATTATAGAACTGTAACCTTTAATGTAAAATGAAAAATGTCCGTAGGATACTCTCTCAACAAGAACAGAAACTAAACTAAACGTAGAAGGGGAACGCACATATATGAGAGAGGAAACTTAGAGTCCTTACAACCATGAACCATATAAAATATATAGAGGGGTTATACATTGTTCAACTCAACACTTCGCCTCAATGTATGACCCGTAG